GAGCCATGACCACCTCTATCCAACCTTGAGTTCAATAGAGAAAAGGTGGGATATACAAACACATTTTAGCTCCAGATCTTATCTGATGGACACCCATGTTCATTTTAAACAGGAACATACAAAGCTTGTCCTTCTGGACAAAAACATAGAAGGCAAAAATCCTTTATTTTTTACCATTATTGTTATTCATACTTTTGCTATACTGTTCTTTAACTACTAAACAGTTATTATTCACTGGATCATCCATGCTGCTGTTTTGTTTTCAGCAAATGATCATATATTCTGTTCTATGCACATACAGGTTTGACCTCATCTGGTAACTAGTTTCAGACAATCATATTTCTCAGGATGTGATTTTCAAAATGAAAAAGAAGAAACATGCATTTGGTAAATTGATTTCTAGCATTTGAAGATCTTATTCTTACCCACAAGCTGGTTTTCAGTTTCCTAACTACTAGATTTTGTTTTGTACTGTCTTTCCAACAGGAAATGAAACAATTATGGATACAATTAAAAGAAAACCCCCAGAGGATGGAAAGGCAATCAAATTCTTAATAAACGGTGGTTCCCAGCCTTGGGTCACCAGATGATCTTGGACTACAGCTCCCAGAAGTCTTCACCACTAGCTGTGCTGGCCAGAATTTCTGGGAACTGTAGTCCAAGAACATCTGAGAACCCAAGGTCGGGAACCACTGCTCTAGAGCTTGTAAACAAGAGAACTCTATTTCCAAAATTCAATAAAGGTAGAAGAATGCACTGAATGATATTATGCACAGAGGTGAATGGGAAAGCCTAGTTTCCACTGCAACCTATTACACTGGTGAAGGTGCAAATTAAGGGTCAAAGTAGATATGATCTGATGTAGATATGTGAACGTGCCATAAGAACATGGAGGTTTGTTTGTTGTGTAAATAGCAATTGAGGAAAACACAGGGCTATCTCGGCATTCATGTGGAAGGTGGGTGTGTAGAAGGAGCTTAATTTTTTGTTTCTCCTTAATAGTCTCAAGTGGGTGAGAAAAAGTCTATCTGAAGCTGCTTTTTAAATATTCATTTTCTCTGAAATGCAAAAGCAGCATCAGAGGGTAATTTTGTCAGGGCATGGAAAAGAGGAGAGAATTCATATTCTCCTCCAAGTCTCCCATAGTCATACAAGTTCCTCTGCAGCTCCTGTTTACAGAACAGAAACATGCAATTAGACTGCGTTTTACAATTAATGTCAGAATTAGCCCTTTGTCATATACTAATAAATCCTATGTAGATCTACTCAAATGTAAACCCCATTGAATTCAGTGTGACTTATTGGATGTTCATATAGGTTTGTACAGAATTGCACCCTAAATGAAATGGTCAAGTGTGGCACCATTGCAAAAAATATTTTTTCCTCCTGTTCTCCTGGCATTCCAGGCAATTTTTCTCTCTCCTAAAAATTTAAATTTAAATCAAGAGTTTTGTGTGCTTTGTTTGCACTTTTGCTTCTAAAGTCCCTTTATAACTGATTTCCACAGTTAAAAGGTGGGTTCCTGCATATGCAATTGAACAGTCCTTTCGTGAAAGTAATTCCAGAGTTTATACATTGTCTAAGGGGTGGGATTGGACCTTAGGATTGTCAAAGCAAGTACTGCTGGCGGGAAATAACAATGTAGGAAGTTGGGCGTGACTTGCCAAAAAACTTTGGGATTTAGGGATCAAGATCATGTTTATTGCAACTAAAAATAGAATCTGTTTCACCTACTCCATCTGGTAGACCAGCTGTTTTTGGATGTGAAACAAGTGCAGGAACAGCAAGACAATTGCTTTTCCTGTTCCCCTCACACTGGACAATGATGAAAGATGCTTTAAACACTTTTATAATGTAATGACCTTGACTGCCTGCTGACCTTTTCTGTCTGTTTGCTGCTTTATATGGTTTGCCCACCTCTTATAAGAAACCAAGGTCTTTTCCTAAAAGAACTCAGAGAGCTACTTATACCAGGCCATACCACAGATCCTTCTAGTGAATGGGTGTAGAGGACCTCCTTCCTTCTTGGTAGTCTATTAGTGGTGAGTGGAGCTGATGTCAGTGATGGGTGGAATTACAACCTAAGGTTTGTGGGACAAGAACCAAAAAGTGGATGGAGCCACCCACTCCTCTCCGTTCTATCACTGCCACTCCCTTTTTGCCCACCTAAAAGACTGCTCTGGAAGAGCCAGATCTCCTTTCTAATAGCCCGAACTGATCACTCCCAGAGGCCTTATGAGATCAGGCTGAGGGCTATGATCCAGGGTACCATTCCTTGATCTGCACTGACTAGCAAAAGCTTTCCCAGTCTTAAGACAGGAATCTTTGCTAGTCCTAATGAGAGATGCCAGGGATTGAACTTGGGACGGAACTTTCTCACACTGAAAAAGAAGGCAGAGCTTCTGTACCTTTAGCAGTTGTGACAGTATCTTGTCAGGTATAGTGGCATGATAAAGTACGACTGCTTAATTCCTTTTCCCACTCAGTTGTTAAAATGTGCAAGAAGGTTGTCTTCTTTTTCATGTGACTACCCTCTCTCTCACTGAGCCAAGGTCATATCCATTGTCCCTACTCAAAGGTGTGCTGGGCAAAAGGATAATACAGATAGAAAGAAAAGCTTCCATAACTCTCAGCCATCTGTCTGACAGCTGGCATTTGTAGGCCAGCTTTGGCAGTTCTGTCAATTCATGTGACAGATGCATGTGAAATACAGGACATAACTGTGGAAAACAAGAAGCACCAGAAATATCAAATCTTCCACCCTCTCACTACCATTCTCCAGGCATTTGCTTCAGAAATCCAAACATTCTCTACATGAAAGCCACGTTCAGCCATGCTAATGGAAAAGATCTATTTAGGAGTGAAACCATCTACCCACAGCTCAGGAATAAGGGTGGCCTCTGGATGATTCAAGGGGCAGTTAACTTCAAAGTCAGTTGGAAGCACTCATAGCCAAACCTTATCAAGCAGCCCAAGGAGCAAACACTCATCTGGAGCAAGGCAACTGCCAGGAAAAATACAAAAAGAAGTTGAAACTGATAATCCACTGCTAACTGGCAATTTAGGTAATTACCCCATGCAAATATGACCTTATCTATTACAATGGCAGCGGGCACAAAAAGATCCAGACTTTCAGTGAAAAAAATCATACCATGCAAAGATCCAGACTTTCAGTGAAAAAAATCATACCATGCTTGATGGAGACATCCTAGAAAGACCTTCTCTTTTTTAACTATTAAAAAATCCCCTACTGGGGGATGTGTCCAGGACATAAAGATCTAAATCTTTGCTATCAACATATCATCGGAGCCATGTTGTGACAGGGAACACTCTACTTCACTAGTTGAACTTCTGTCTGTCATGCAGCTATTCTGCCTGGAAAATGCAATTCTAGAGGCAGACATGTGGCAGTAATTTGTTAACCAGACCACAGGGCCCATATCCCAGTAAAATATGTATGCACATCTACCTAAAAAATGGCTGTATAGTCTTCATATGATGATGGCTAAAATGCCAGAAAGCACTCTTTCCAAACTTGTCTGCTGTTATCTGATCTAGAGAACTATCCTTAAGGAATCCCCACTCTTCACATGCCCCACGGAAAGCAGTCAACCTGGGGGACAGACTAAAAACATAATAACTCCAAGTTTAAAATTTCTCAAGACCCAAGTTGCCTCATAGGATGACTTATAAAGAACGTAACCATTTGAATTAATTAGATACAGATAATCAAAACCCACCCGAGTCAGCTCCGTTCAATGGTAATGAAACTATGGAGGCTTCAAGACCATTACCGCACTTTTATAAAAACGCCAGAACACTTAGAACCTGATCAACTTAATGTGCAATTAAACAACTAGGCATCTCAAATTATTTAAGTTATCTTTAGTCTGATTGTGCCTTATCATCCCAAAAGAGATTCTCTTTAGACTTTTTATGCCCCAGTCACTTTCCTATGCAGAGTCCACATTCAGATGTACCTAAAGATTTTTTAAGCTTGTTTGACAGCCAGGACCTCTGTTTCTGAATCACCAAATCATTCACATTAAGGCCATAGTAAACTTCTATAAAAGGTAAAGGTAAAGGTTCCCCTTGACAATTTTTGTCCAGTCGTGTTCGACTCTAGGGGGCAGTACTCATCCCCGTTTCCAAGCCATAGAGCCAGCGTTTTGTCCGAAGACAATCTTCCGTGGTCACGTAGCCCGCAGCGCCACCACGTCCCAACTTCTATACAGGTACACTAATGCAACTTTCTACAATTCAGTGCCATCCAAATGTGCTGGACCATGGCTCTCATTACTCCCATGAGATTTAATGAGGCCATTAGCTACTAGTCATGGTGGCTAAAATACATCCAGTATCCAAGCTGCTCAGGAACAACAGTGGAAGAAAAATTCCTTTGTGTCCTTCTGATCCAACAGGGATCTCTTTAGAGTGGCCACTTGGAAAAGAAAGCAGGAACCAACCCCACCTTCTTTTTCATAAATCCACAATGTTGTACTTCTGCTCTTTTGATTTTATTAGAAAGGAGGTGTGGGCTAAACCGCAGAAGCCTGTGCTGTAGGGTCAGAAGACCAAGCAGTTGTAAGATTGAATCCACGCGATGGAGTGAGCTCCCGTCGCTTGTCCCAGCTCCCGCCAACCTAGCGGTTCGAAAGCATGCAAATGCAAGTAGATCAATAGGGACCACCTCGGTGGGAAGGTAACAGCGTTCTGTGTCTAAGTCGCACTGGCTATGTGACCACAGAAGATTGTCTTCAGACAAAACGCTGGCTCTATGGCTTGGAAACGGGGATGAGCACTGCCCCCTAGAGTCGAACACAACTGGACAAAAATTGTCAAGGGGAACCTTTACCTTTAAAGTAACCCCAAATGTTAAGCCCCCCTTCACAAGGTCTGTCCTTGCTTACAACTTGAAATATACATATATACCAGAATATATGCTTTACAAGATTTGAAAAAAAAAATGGCATTTTAAGACATCTACATCCCACCCTTACCTGAGTCATCATGACTCCAGAAGGTCCTCTGGTCAGGTTGAGCCAACATATCTTCTTTATTGTAGAGTTCTTTCATCTATAAAACATAATGAGGAAAATAAAGCTCACTTTGTTTCATGATGGTTTTAATAGGCATAAAATCTTCTTTTTATTTCACACGAAGAAAGCATTAAAAAACATAGGTAGAATTTATGAGACACGCAATGAAATGTGTGTATCTTAAGACCACAAGGAAGCAGTTTTACCTATGTCTTGAGTTATACCAGCGGTGATGCAGGAAAATAGGGGAGACTAAAAAAGTTGGGTATCTGCTGCCATTAAAGGGTGACTAAGTGAAGAGAGGCCCCTTCCTTTCCCAGAAGGCATCACTTGGTGGTGGAACAGATGCTTGGCAAGGAGGTGAAGTTCTTTATGTAACATTCCCTGGCAATGCAATCCTAACTCCAAAATATCCTGGCCTTAGTTGGTTAGGATTAGGCACATGTGTCTTTTGTCATCAGAAACCCCCTTCTGCCAGCTGATCTCAGAGATCGGCTGGCACAGCAGTCTGCTGATGGAACTATGAAGCTGGCTAATATTTGCCAGAACAGCAGCCGGAAGGGGGCAGGGAAGGGGTAAGAGAATGCAAAGCTCTTCTAGGCCAGGAACAATGTCATCATGCTCCCACAAAAAGGCATCAGAGTAAGGCCTGCTGTAAATAAATGTTCAGCATTGCTAAGCTGGGAGGGTCTGGGATTCGGTACTGCTTTAACTGGTCTAGCGTTGGGTCAGCTGGCCTTTGGCTATTTAGTATTTTTCTGTAAGAGTGAACCTGGACTTAGATCTCAGGATTGTATTTTCTGGTGGCCAGACACTTGTGTTTATTTGTTAACCTTTAACGAATCATTCACCTATTTTGACCGGGCCTTCATGGGAAAGAGGGGCTCACTATTATAATCAAAGGCCCTTGACCTGCATGTTTGAGCTTTCCATGATGGATTATTTCAGAGTCACTTTGGCACAGAATAGGGTACAGTCCCCCCACAGTATGCTTATATTCCTCCCAATCAGGAGCTGATGTTTGAACGCATGGGCTCTGTGTGTTTCAAATGGTATTTCCATGAGCCCTCAATTCATTGCCCAGATTAAATCTGTTTGAGTAGTCAGGTGATTGGGTCCTTTCTTCTTTGCAATTGTCTGGCACACTTAAGCTTTGGCAGATAGCAACTAAAACTGATCAAATATTTTTAAATGCTAGCTAGACAATGGCAAAACAAAAGCCTGCACAGCCTATTGTTGTATCATGAAATGCTGAACAGAAGTTCTCTAGGGTCTCAGAGGTACTCCCCTTTGACCTATAGAAATACTTCACAGAAGCTTGTGAAGTCATTCGATCTGACTTAATGGCCAGTATCCTGTTGCTAATTCCATCTAGAGTAGACCCATTAAGAAGGAGAAAATCGTCATAGTGGTTTGTTTATGTAAGCCGCCAAGTAAAAATAGTTATCGAATCTGTGTGTTCTGAAATCGTCATAGTGGTTTGTTTATGTAAGCTGCCAAGTAAAAAATAGTTATTAAATCTGTGTGTTCTCGAAGGCTGTGATCTGATGGTTGTTGTGCGTTTTTATCTGATGGTTGTTGTGTGTTTTTTGGGCTGTTTGGTTATGTTCTGGAGTTTTTTTCTTCCAAACATTTCGCAACAGAGACTGATGAAACATTAGGAAGGAAAACCTCCAGCACACGGCCAAACAGCCTGAAAACCCCACAACAACCATCAGTTATCGAATCCCTGAAACAACCAAAGTGGCTTACTGCGTTTTGCTGTGCAGGACTGAGGAACCTTTGTAGCACACAGATCTATGAGAAGCTTAGAGAATATGGAATGAGGAGAGGAAGAGGGTCATTTCAAGCATGGAAATCCATTCACATGATGCTAGAATACTTCCTTTAGGTATGTCAAGGTTTAAGAAACTGATTTCCTTGCACTGGGATTTTCCAATGAGATAGCTACCTTGAGTGGGTCATTGCCATCTGAGAACAATTTCCATGCTAGTGTAGGCTGTCAGCTGGTCTCAGACCTTTAATCAGGGGTACTGATAATGCTGGACATGAGCTTTTCACTCCTGCTGCACACACTTAAAAAAAAGAAGCTATGGAAGAATTTCTAAAAGCAATTAGTGCTGAAAAAGTTAAGACTCCATTCAAAGTTGATCTTGAGTTACATGTGTGGTTAAGGCCAAATAAGATCTTAGGCTGTGTGCTAACTGAAAAGATGGATACCTGGCATGAAGTGATATTGGCTACCAGAGATGGGACACATTTGGAGGGTTTTGGTCTACAACTCCATAAATGTCATGGTCACTGTGGGCAGTAGTTATACTGGCCATGGGATTCCAGGAGTCATAGTCTAAAACCTCCCAAAGACATGCCATCTTTCACTACTACAACATGTACAGGAGAACTTGCATAGCCTTCTGATGCACAGAAGTCTGTGGCTACACTAGCAGCAGGCAGTGAACTAGTGTGGCCTGTGGGAACAATCCCTTGATTGAACTATTCACACGGAAATGGCAGTACTGTGAACTGGTATAAGAAGTGAGACACTTTGGATCTTAGCAAGTTAATCTCTTCCGCTACTCAGTAGGGGAGGTGAGATTTTTTCCCCCTTCCAGTTGTATATAGACTATTGCTGATACTCTACATCAGTTATGTATATATTCCTTGCCCTCTCTTAAAGGGCCAGTCGAGAAACTGCCTACAGTTGCACTACATCAGTTATGTATATATTCCTTGCCCTCTCTTAAAGGGCCAGTCGAGAAACTGCCTACAGTTGCACTACATCCGTTATGTAAACACACACAGACACACACACACACAAAACTGATGTAGTGTATCAGCAATAATCTATATACAACTGCAATAGTCTATATTCCTTGCCCTCTCTTAAAGGGCCAGTTGAGAAACTGCCTACAGTTGAAGCCACCTCTGTCGATTTAACTCTGGGCTGTTTCTTGACCAACACTTTAAGCTGAGGCAAAGAAAACCACTGTATGGAATAAATGCAACATGAAGCAAAAAAAAATTTACCCCTTCACACTGAAAAGCCATCCACTTTTTATTTTGCCTGAGAAGAGCAAAACACACAATACTATAACAATGTTTCTACTTTCTTTCCCTACATTTGAAACTTTATATATAAGGACAAAGTGAACAAGTTAATGGCTGTTGTGGGTTTCTTGGGCTCTTTGGCCATGTTCTGAAGGTTGTTCTTCCTAATGTTTCACCAGTCTCTGTGGCCGGCATCTTCATTTAAGCAACAGTCTGCATAACTTCATGAATTTATGGTTCACTCAAAAACAAACAGCATTTTCCCTCATGTCCTCTGCATTCTTTCCCCCTATATTCATAAGGCATCAGTTGTCATGACATTGATTCACCTAGCTTTGTTTTCAGCAGTTGAGGCAATCAGACTGCCTCACTGTTATGTCAGGCTTTATGCAAGTATTACATAATGAACTTGGTCAGCTTCCTGTGCTCTGGGAGGAAGCTGATTTCCTAGATGCACATCTATCTGCCTTTAGGTCCTGTTCTGGAAAAGAACCTACCTTATTTTCCCCAACGGTGATCTTTGCCAAGAGGAGGAAGAGGAAGAATGAATCTTTGGATTCTCTTGGATCTTTCACTGGCATCCTTTTGAGTTTGACTGTCTGAGCTGGGAGATGGATCTTAAACGGTGCTGAGGTCAAGTGAAATCTTTATCAAGTTGTTGGTTGTTTTTTTTTTGCAGCTGTGCACTCTTAATCCAACGAATTTTAAGTCCTTCAACGATGCTACACATCTTATTACTTACTCTTGTCTACTTTGTTTTATTTGCTGTTTTGTCACGTTTCATTGTTGTAAGTTATTCAGAGTGATGGCAAATAAATACTGTGACACATGCAAACAAATGTGTCACCAATGTCATTAGCAAATTAAACTTAAATATTTCTGTCAGTTCATGATTAAATAATGTATATTGCCTTTTGATGTGGTGAAGGATGTGGTGAGGGCAGTACTTCAAAGGTACCATTTATGCATAGAATCAATTTGGTCACCACATATATATTATTTGGCTTCTCCTGCCCTAGGTATTGTCTGGTTAGCATGAGTTAGTCTGTAAGCATAAGTGACTCAGGATGACCAAGGCAGTGAGGGTGCAACCCTGCCATTTGGGGCTGAGGCACCCCCTGCATGATCCACCCACTGCCCAAATCTAAAAGAAAATGTGTAGGACCAATGTGTATTGGTGGAAATAGAATTTTATTTGGGAATGCAAGAGTAGGGTTGGGATATATTTTCATATTTTAAATTCACTAATTCCATAATTCCATAATTCCATGGGGCTGGCTGAATAGCTCAGTCCATTTTAAATTCACTAATTCCATAATTCCATGGGGTTGGCTGAATAGCTCAGTCCTCTAGGTATCTGGCTGCAGAGCCAGAGGTTGGCAGTTTGATTTCCCACTGTGCCTCCTACAAGAATAGCCAGCCTATGCGGCCTCGGGCAAGCTCCACAGTCCCACTTCTGAACATTCTCTACTTGGAGAATACCTGGAATATTCTCTTCCATATTTCTGATGAAGTGGACCTGTTCATGAAAACTCACATTAAAATATAATAGACTTGAAGGTGTCACATGTTTTTGTTTTTGTTTTGTTTGTTTGGATTTTGCCTGATATGGAAAACCCTGGGAAGTGTTGCCAAAAGTCAGAGTTGATCTGATGGTCCATGATGATGATGATTAACAAATGGCTTCCTCTGATGTAGGACTGCTGAGCAGTATTCAGTTAAAGGTATTTATATTTATATTTAAGATATTTATATTTGAACTCTGAGAAGGACAATACCTACAATATTTATGCTAAAAGATCACCCATCTGTAAGCTCAATTAACTTAAATTAAATTGTATTAAATTGTTCCTTAACATAATAGTTTCAATCCAGCACACAAAAAACCAGGCATGTTTAAACTGCACTGATTTCTATAATATCAAAATATATGTGACTGTGAATTGGGAGTGTGTCCAGTAGCTTGATTGAAACAGGTCTTGACAAAAA